CGGACGGTGCTGCCCCATCTCAGCCCCTGCTGCTCCCCGCTCCCTTCCCAGCACCCCCAGGCCAGGCAGAGCGAGGGACGTGGGGGGCCCCACTCGGGGACAGGGCGGCTGGTGGGCAACCCCGGCGCCTTCCCCCTCGGCACGCGCCGTTCCTGTAAGAATCAAATGGGAAATAAGAAGCAAATGGGAAATGAGCTCCCCTGGGGCTGAGCCTTCCGGGGCTGCCCAGCGAGGTGGTTGCTGATGGAGGGGAACTGGGGGGTCCAGGCGGTGGGTCCAGGCCTGCTGGGATGTCGGGGGGAGCGGGTTTTCCCTCGGTGCTCCCCGGGGACCACGTGGGTGGGTGTAGCACCCCTCGCCAGCCTGCTCTGATCTGGCGCCGGAGGAGAGCTCCCACCACTCGCTCAAGGACTCACAAGCTGCCGACCGGTCACTGTGACGGGAAGCGGGGAAGGAGGGAGCCGCCGCGGCTCCTCTGCCCTCTCCCTGCTCCCGCACCGCTGGCAGGAGCCTGAATCTCCCCTAAAATGCCCCAATGTCCCTTCTTGACACTTCCAGTATTGGGCTGCAGGTTCCTGGTGTTGGTAGGTAGAGGCGAGGCTGGGGCGCCGGGGGCTGGCGTGGGTGGAGGTCAGTGCCCACCTTTGGGCACGCAGGGTCCAAGCGGCGACTCAGAGCAAAGCCAGAGCAGACCCAGACTCTTCCAACCGAGTGTCCGGCCCTGGAGAGAGCTGGTTTTGCTGGTTTTGCCCTTTTTTTTAAACCAACTGAAGCTAAATTGCCTTAATTCACCAAGAGCACCAACCAAAGCTGCTTGAACATCCTCTGTGCCGGGCCAGACCCAGCTCCGGCTGGGCCGGTGCTTATTGCCGGGACCAACCTCGGACCCTGGTGTGGGCAGCGCGTTTCGGCGCAGGGAGGGCTCCTGTCCCTGGCTGCTGCCCGTCCCCCCGCCAGCGCAGACCGGGGGCTCTGCAACGCACAAGCGCCTCAATCCCAGCCCCAATCCAGGCGTCCCCTGGGCTCGCAGCCCCACGGCAGCTCCCCCACCCCCATAAAACCGGCTGTGGGGAAAAGGGGCTGGGGGGGCCCAGACCGAGCCACCGCGAGCGGCTGCACCGTGACCCCAGGTGCTGCTCCCCCATGGGCATCCCTGGGCAGCCGCTCTCATGCCCGCGGCGCGCGGGGACACCCGGGACTGTCTGACCCAATATGTGTTTTGTTTAAGGGACCTTTTACGTTCTTTATACGACAATAAAGTTGGCTTTTACTTTGGAGCTGTGCGTGTTGGTGCGTGCATCTGCGGGGGGCTGTGGCCTTGGGCCGAGGCGGGGGGCATCCCCTCGTGCCGGGGCCACCCCGGTCCTCGGTGACATAACGGCTGCAAGGGAAGGACGAAGGGCGTCCGCAACACTCCATGTCTTCCCAGTGCCACGTCCGGCTCTGCTGGGTGCTCCCGGGCTGGCGCTTTCAGAAACACAATACTTGGTCCCTCCGGTAACCCTGCCTTCGCCTTCAATAAATGAACACCCTGCGGCTCAGCTCCTGCCAGCGCGGCTCAGGTCGCTGGCACGGTGCCGGTCCCCGAGCTGGGACCCTGTGGCGCAGTTTGCCGGGGCCCAGCTCTGCTCCCCCCCCTCCCAACCCCACTGGACCAGACCTGGGCATCGCGTAGCAGATGGGGCAGGCACCACGACGGCTGGGAGGGACAAGCCCTTCCCGATGCCTCTTCGGTCACGGCATCCGCAGCAGCCCCGTGCTG